CACATCCCCGGTAGGGGGTGTGCAAGAAGCAGCTGGTTGATGTTTCTCTCTCATCGATGTTTCTAGCTCTCTATCTCTCTCCCTTCCTCTATGTAAAAAATCAATGAAAATATATATTTTTTTAAAAAGGCCCCTCCCCTACGCAGTGGTTAGATTGCTTACCCTGCACAACTAAATATTGGGTTGGAGGGATAGACTTCCCTAGAGCTGGTTTTCTGCTAGTCTTTCTCCACTCTGAACCCCAGGTTCCACAAAAACAGCTTTTCCCTGAAGTCTTGGTGAGGGTTTTTCAATTGGAAGATCCTATGTACTGTACTTAGCAATCAAAAGCAAGATTTAAAAAGAAAAAAAAAAAAGCCACAGGACACACACAGACTAGTATCTTTTCCTCCGGGGCACTCCGCAGCTGGTATACTGGTAAAACTTCAGGCTGCCTTTCTGGGTCCAGCCCTGCTATGGGTTAATTTCTCTAGTCCCTTTCTGCCAGCATCTCTGTGGACACCCCTTCCACATTCCAGGGTTACACTGGCCCCAGCAACCTCGGATTTTGTGGGGCTCAGTCTTCCTCTGAGACTTTAGTTTCATGCACATTTTGCTCACGTTTATCCCTCCAGCCTGGATCCCAGATCTCATCTTTCCCTAGCGATATCTGACCTGAGTTTAATTTTCCAATTCCAGGTGGATATTAGTCAATTCAGCTGTTCTTTCTCTCCGCTGTGTGAAAAGGCGCAGGGCTTGTCCACGTATTCGCACTTCTTTTTCTCCTGGACAGACTTTCTAGGCACCCGGGGTCGAAGAGGCTAGAAACTTGGTGTTCCTGGATTCATAGCTGAGGCAGCTCATCCCCGGGGGTTGTGGTTGTAGGATCCTGGGAAGTATCCGAGGTCCCCAGTTGAAGGCAAACGGGGTTTCAGATCACTGCCTCTCTTCCCTTCAAGATGGCACGGTCTCTGTGGTAGAGCTAGTTGCTCTGGGAGAGATTTCAGCAGCAGTAGAGGCTGCCTGGCCAGGTGAGCCCAGTCTGCCAGTCCCCAACAATTCCTTGGAATATAACTGTCCCTCACTAACAAATACAGACACTGCTCCGCACATCCACACACTCTCCTTTCGTTCTTTCACTCGCACACTATCTTGCAGCTTGCAATCCCATTGGCAAACATCTTGTATCTCTCCAGAGTATGTTCTCTGACCATAATGCTATGAAACTATATATGTATAACAGAAGCAAATAGAAAAATATCTAAACACTTATAATTCACACTATCGTTCCAGTTTATTGTTGAGATTCCTGTTATAAAAGAGCAGAAATTAGAATTTTCCCAAGCTGAACTATATTTCCAGCTGAATAAAAAAAGAAGTCTACTTATGATATTTCAAAGTATTGTTGAAAGCAAAGCTGAACGGAGCGGGGACAGTTTAGGAAGTGGTTACATCAGTCTCATCTGACATTGAAGTTTGGACTGTACTAAAAAAGAAAGTACAGCTTGCTAATTAGTCATGAAATCAATGTTGTGTCTGATTATATTTGGGAGGTATGAGTTTGCTTCCCAGGTTGTAGCAGGGTTAATAGATTACAGAGTCCTGAAAGAAGGCAAATTCCATATGCCTTCCTAGAGTATAGCCCATATATGTTGATACTTTTGTTCTTTATAAATCCTGTCTCATTTTCTTTTTTTCTTTTTTTAAAAATATATTTTATTGATTTTGTACAGAGAGAAAGGGAGAGAGATAGAGAGTTAGAAACATCGATGAGAGAGAGTCATCGATCAGCTGCCTCTTGCACACCCCCTACTGGGGATATGCCCGCAACCAAGGTACATGCCCTTGACCGGAATCGAACCCAGGACCTTTCAGTCCCCAAGCCGACACTCTATCCACTGAGCCAAACCGGTTTCGGCTCCTGTCTCATTTTCTAAATGGTTCTACATAGTTACTCCCTACTTGAATATTTCTTTCCTGATTATGCTATCTTTTGAGTAAGACTCTCAAATATAGAGGGGTAGAGGCGTTTTCTTTCTGGGGTTTGTGTGATTATTCCACTCAGGCAGTTTGACACTTGGCTTCCCTACAATAATGTTAGGCCAAGATGTGGTACATGGTACATGTCCACTGATGTGTCTTCAAATTTATTTTTGTTCTCAATTTGAAATTACAATAATAGCAGTAGTTCTCTTCAAAGAAAAATAAAGGTTGGTATTTTCCCATAATTTTCGGGAGACTTCATTATGAATATGGTAGGTATAAGCATCAGCCTTTCACCTTCAGGAGGAGGATGGAAACAAGGCAATGAGGGGTTCCCAGAAGGACCCTCAAATATGACAGTAACTATTCAGATAGCCTGGTTTGCATGTAGCAGCACTTAGGACTATGCAACTCTTTCACTCTCCATGGTCGTCGTCTTCTTTTCTTTTAAAAAAAAATAAATATTTATTGTTCAGATTATTAGTTTTTCCTCTCCCCCCCCCATAGCTCCCTTCCACCTGGTTTCTACCCCACCTGCTGCCCTTACCCTCCCCTCCACTGTCCTCATCGATATAGGTGTACTATTTTTGTCCAGGCTCTTCCTGCACCCCCAGACACCCCATTCCCCCTGAGAATTGTCAGTCCACTCCCTTTCTATGCCCCTGATTCTATTATATTCACCAGTTTATTCTGTTCATCAGATTTTTTTTATTCACTTGATTTTTATTCACTTGTTGATAGACATGTATTTGTTGTCACTTTGGTGTTCATAATTTTTATCTTTACCTTCTTCTTCCTCTTCTTAAAGAATACCCTTCAGCATTTCATATAATACTTGTTTGGCGGTGATGAACTTCTTTACCTTTTCCCATCTGTAAAGCTCTTTATCTGACATTCAATTCTGAATGATAGCTTTGCTAGGTAGAGTAATCTTGGTTGTAGGTTCTTGCTATTCATCACTTTGAATATTTCTTGCCACTTCCATCTGGCCTGCATAGTTTCTGTTGAGAAATCATCTGACAGTCATATTGGTACTCTTTTGTAGGTAACTGTTTTTCTCTTGCTGCTTTTAATATTCTCTCTTTGTCTTTTGCCCTTAGCATTTTAATTATGATGTGTCTGGGTGTGATGCTCTTTGGATTCCTTTTGTTTGGGGTTCTGTGCACTTCCTGAACTTGTAAGTCTATTTCTTTCACCAAGTAGGGGAAGTTTTGTGTCATTATTTCTTCAAATAGGTTTTCAATATCTTGCTCTCTCTCTTCTTCTGGAACCCCCATTATTCTGATGTTGGTACGCTTGAAGTTGTCCCAGAGGCTCCTTACACTGTCTTCATATTTTTGGATTCTTTTTTCATTTCTAGTTAGGTATTTTTTGCTGATTCGTATTTCAAATCTTTGACTTGATTCTTGGGATTCTCTAGTCTGCTTTTGGATCTCTGTATATCATTCTTTATTTCAGTCAGTGTATGCTATTTCTAGTTGGTCCTTTTTCATATCCTTGAGGGTCTCACTAAATTTCTCAGAGGTTTCTAGAAGATTCTTGAGTAACCTTATAACTATGGTTTTGAACTTTATATCCAATAGTTTGTTTTCCTCCATTTCTGTCATTTGTGACCTGTTTCTTTGTCTCCATATTTTGTCTGCTTCTCTGTGTTGATAGAATGGCTTTGTGGGCTAGGTATCCTATAGAGCCCAGTGACTCAGCCTCCCCAATTACCTGAGGTGGACACTCTTGGTGCACCCCTTTGTGGGCTGTGTGCATAGTCTTACTGTAGTTACGCCTTGATTGTTGTTGATATCACTGGGAGGAATTGACCTCCAGGCCAATTGGCTGTGAGGACCAGTTGTGTCTACTATGGGATAACTTCTTTGCTGGAGACACCCTTATGGGGCAAGACTTGCTTTAGTGGGGCTTTGACACTCACTGAGCCTGCCCTCTGAGTGTGTCTCTTATGGATGTGAAGAGTTGTAATCTGGATAGTCTCACTTTGACCACTGGGCACACTGGCTCTTGGATCTCCAAGGAGGTACAAATTTATCCTCTGCCTGAGGCCACCCAACAGGAGGTACAGAGAGATCTTCAGATTCCTCATCTTTGTTTGGGGTTTGAAGGTGCCCAGCTGTGAAGCAATGCAAGCTGCTGTCCAGCTCTGAGCCTTCTTTTGGGGGCTCTAAGGTTCTCTGACCCAGCTGCAGTATGTTAGGTTTTAGATTGCAAATGGCCAGGCCATTCATATGCCAAAGCCTCTGTGCACAGCTAGGGTGGGTTTGTAAATTAGGTGGGATGGGGTCTCGGTATCACCAGGGTAGAGCAAACAGCAATGGCTGGCCATCACCCTTGCCCCGATGAGGTCCCCGAGTCTCTGTGTCCCATGGCACCATGCAGGAACAATGATCACTGCAAGCATCTCAGAGAAAGCCACCCTCGTGTTCCGGCCCAATGCCAGACAGTCCAGTTTCTCCCTGTATGAGTCTGGGTCCCCAGAGTCTCACCCAGAACTGTAGTTCAGAGCAGTCAGAACTTGTGTCTCCCTGCCCAATTGAAAAAGACAACAGCATACTCAGTTGCCAGCTCTTTTCCACGCATGCCTCTGTACCTCCACACTTCACTTCTGTACCTTTGCACTTCCTTCGAGTCTCAGTGTGGTTTTCTCTTTTCTTCAGTATAATTGCCACTCAGTCAGCCTTCCTATGGTTCTGGATGATATCCGTTTTGTCTTTTAGTTGTAGTTTTGAAGTGGTTATGCAAGGCAGCAAGTTCAGTTGTTTACCTATGCCGCCATATTGGTTTCTCTGTCTTCTTTTTCTTTTCTTGCTGTAAAAGTGAAGAGTGATAGAACCGGAATAATGGTTGAACAATCCCATTTGTAGACCTGTTATAATTAAGGTGAGCATATATAGGAAGCTTTTTAGCATTTCTATATATATCTGAGCACTTACTTCTATACACTTCCCCACAGAACCCTCTCTAGCTTCCACCCTAAAAATATTGGTGTGAAGTGGATTAAAGCATACCAAGATAGAACTCCAGAAAGACAAATGGAAAACACACAAGATGGAACCCTGGGGGACTGGTTCAAGATCACAGTGAGTATCCTGATAAAATGTAGGAAATGTATAAGAAAGGCAGATCCAGGGGAGTTGTATTGATCTCATATAAAGACGCTAGGAACTTTGTTAAGTTCAGGAGGAATTAACATCTTTGATTATCCAAAGGTCAGGTTCAGAGAAGCAGTAAAAAGGGAACAGAGTGACTGAAGGAAGGTCGACTACAAGGAAAGGTAGAAACTACTGCCAAGGAGATGGAGCAACTTCTCACTAGATGTCTCCGTTTGATTCTCTAAAATTTTTTGTTTTGTTTTGTTTGTGTGTGTGTGTGTGTGTGTGTGTGTGTGTGTGTGTGTGGTGGGGGGTGGGGAGTTATTTTTATCAGAGGGACAGGTAGGGTCTTTAATAGGTAGGATCTTCCCTGGAACCTTATTAAAGGAAGCTCATTTTAAGCATCTAAATTTGATTATTTGGAAGGTAAATATTGAAATAGAGGAAAAGGATAATTAGAAAATCCATCTGGAAAAAAACACACCACATTGAAGTAATGTTAATGGTCCCTACTTTAGAGTCTTTTAAAGTTTGGTAGGAGGTCAGAATAAAACACTGTGTTGGGCTATTCTCTAGCCTTATTTCCACATTTTCTCACCAACCCTTCTTTTTGTCTCATCCTTAGGTCCCTTATGGGATAAAGTACGACAGGACATGGCTAATTAATTCAATCCAGAGCCATTGCAGTGTCCCCTTCACTCCAGTGGATGTAAGAGGGGTGGTGAAGCCAGATGAAGAGGCTCAGGGAAGGGGGATAGATGTGGCTCAGCTAGGGCCAGAGGCCACTTACATTATTGCTGTTGCTTTTAATCTATGTAGTTCCACTATGTTAAACACCTGGCCCAGTTCTTTGTCCAGGATGCTAGTGCTGCCTCTGCATTGAAGGACATAAATGGCAAGATCTGTGATGAGGAGAACCAAAAGGTATATGTTGAAGATATTTTCTGAACACAGGCCAGAGGCTACTAACCTTCTTTGGTATTAGAGTTTTGGGTGTTTATCCTACTTCTTCTTCCTGCAGATATTTATCTTTGTTAATACTTCTGCTGTACCCTACTCTGCATGCAATAAGTTGGAGCCAGAAAAAATGGAGCAACTAAAGGTGATGTAGACATAAGGCATGTTGTGTGCCCACACTCAGAAACACGTGTTCCTCCTTCAGTCCCCAATTTCTCTATCACCACAATAACCTCAGAGCAGCTCTCTTCATCTCCCTCTATAGCTGACCATAAGCAAACGATATGATGTTTCTCAGAAAGCTCTTGACCTTCACAAGCTCCGCTTTGACCCAGGTACACCTAATAGTAGTAATTGTAGGGAAGGTGAAGACAGAGGAATCTGACTGAGAGGAAGACCTAGAAATGGTAATGAGGGAGGTGCGGGTCCTGGAACCATCTCAATCTTCTCATTCCCTACTCTTGGTTCCCTGAAGACTTACTGGGCCATGATATTATTATAATCCTAAATCGAAGAAACTGCATGGCTGCCACCCTGCAGATCATCAAAGAGAATTTCCCTGAGGTGAGGCCTTAGACCCAGTGCTGGTGTTACAGTAGGGGGTGGGACAGATGGGACATAGGACAGATTTGTCTCTCAGGTCCTAGATAGTAAGGATCACTCTGACTCTTCTTCTCTAAAGCTGTTGTCCCTGAATTTGTGTAAGAACAAACTGTGCCAGCTGGATGGTCTGTCTGAGATTATGCAGATGGCACCCACAATCAAGATCCTGAACCTTTCCAAAAATCAGGTGAGAAGAGGGAGCCAGGTCAAAGTTGAGTTGAGAGTGGGTGGTAGTGGTCATCAGAGTGATGACAGGAGGGATGCAAAAGTACCAGTGGGAGAGAGGGGGGGTTGTGGATGCAGGAGCCCAGATGTACCTCTTTCCCTGATATTTCTTTTCCAATTTCCCCCATATTTTTCAGCTAAAGTCAGCCTACGAGTTGGACAAGATAAAAGGGCTGGAGCTGGAAGAGCTGTGGCTGAAAGGGAACCCCTTGTGCAATACCTTCCCAAACCAGCCCACTTACATAAGGTTGGTGAAACCACTGTAACTCTTTTTGGGAGAGATCTTTCCTCCACCTGCTAAGAACCAAATTATTCCTGACTCTGTCCCTCTGCAGGACATAGACCCTCTAGTCCTCTGGGAGGACCACTGGCCCTGCCCTCTTGTTTCTCATTGTATGTGTCTCTCACCTGAGCTTAGAAGTCTCCTTTCCTTTCTCTGACCTGATCACTTCTTGTGGAGTTTGTTTTCTACTTCTCTGCACCCACCATTCTCTAACATGCCCTCCCAAGAGTGTGCTCCAGGAAACAGGACTCTCCCCCATAAGAACCAGGGGTGTTTAGCCTTGAGACAGATGCTGGTTCCTTGCATTAAAAAGGATCTTCTAGTCCAGAGCCTCATGCTCAGACAGGGCTTCTTAGATGATATAGAGTATCCCTATCCTATTCTGAGAAGAACCTTCTACAATCCTACACTGACATGAGGACTTTACCACCCCATGCTGTTGCCAATGCCCCCAGAGGGTTGCTGTCATGGCATCCATTCCTCTGGTTCAATGCCAGGAGCTGGGCTCTCCTTTGGAGAATCCAGAGTTCCCTAGATAAAGATCCAGAAATTAGCAGAGGGCCTCTTGAGGAAGCAGTGGAAAGCTGAGGGCAGAGAGGGTTGAGAAGACAGAAAGTTATCTCAGGAATACGACCCCTTCCTCCACACTTCCTGCCTGAACATTCAGCGGAGCTCTGGCTAATATGATATGAACAGGATTCCTTAGGCATGGGAACAAACTAAGACAGATACAGGTAGGTGCACAGAGGCCATGAGGAGAGAAAGTGGTGATCACAAGAGGGGCCACAGACCCCCAACCCCAAGTTCAGCTGGGGCCTGACCCTTCTGGGAAGGTCTCCTGATCCCATGGCTGCTGTGTTTCCCATGCCCAGTTCATATTAATCTCTCATAGGTGACAAAAGCTCAACCAGCATCCTGTGGCCAGGGGCAGACGAAGGAAAGGGCTGCTGCGGGGGAGCCATGTCCCTTTTCTCTTTTCTTCTTCTCTGACCCAATCCCCACTGCCAGGGCAGAGGTTCCTTCCCCTCCCTTTACTTTTTTTTCTTTTTCTTTTTCCTTTTCCTTTTCCTTTGACTCTACATTTTGATGTCTTCCCAATCTCTGCTATTTTCACTCTCTTTCTGTCTTCATCCTTCTCCCTTTCACTTCCTGTCTCCTAATCCCTCCCTCCATCACTCTCCTTGGCCCAGGGTTCTGGGCTATCCATGGCGCATGTCCTGTTCATGGCAGGATGCTGGATCCTCACTGAGGTGGCAGAACCCTGGGCCCCCACCACATTCCCTCTTCTCTCTGGAGCCATCAGTGGTGGCCTGGAAGAAGGAAAGGGAGGCAGGGAGGGAGAAGGAGCTCTGGAGTTTGGGATCAAAATGCTGTGGTCTGTGGCACTGAGGAAGGAGGCAGGGCCCTCTAGACAGGAGTTAACCAGGAGGATAGAGAGGGAGAAGGAGGGAGGAAACGGTGAGGGATGCAGGAAGGAAGGGCGGTAATATGAATGTGAAGGTGTGGAGAGAGGTGGAGACTGTATTCCAGAGATTCCATATGGCAGATGGTCAGTGCTCAGCAGAGAAGTGGACCCAGAAGCCTTGAAATCTGAGGCTGAGGAGGGCAAAGGGGATTCTGGGTGGGCAAAACACCTGTCTCTGTTCATGCCATCAGTGTTTTAAGTAAATGGAAGCATGCAATCCAAACTATCAACCACTTCTTTATTTTTGCATTTGGACAGCGCCATCAGAAAGTATTTCCCCAAGTTGTTACGCTTGGTAAGTGCCTAATTCATCATCTTTTATTTACATTGGCAACCTCCACACCTACCCTCAAGCCCTTTATGTCTTGCCTGGATTACATGTTTGCATCAAAACTCTCACCCATTTAGGGGAATGTGGACTTCTGAAAAAATTCATGAATATCTCTGCAAAACTGTTTATACACAGAGAGAGGAAGAAAGAGAGCCATGGAGAGGGGAATGAGGGCAGGAGAGAGGAAAAGTGAAAGAGGGAGAAATACACACACACACACACACACACACACACACACACACACACAACATTGAATAAAACAGTAGAGACTTCCAGAACCTCATGATGCAGATGCCCACTGGAATCTTGCCCATGGAATTTCCAGGTTTTTTCACCCTTGACCTCTGATCTTCGCCATCTCCTGGTTCCATCTTTGCCCTTAATCACCCAGGACCACCTCCCTATACTGCTAATTTATTCCTCCCTTCTTCAGGATGGCCAGGATTTACCTCCACCAACTATAATTGACATGGACATAATAAAACCCTGTAAGGTGAGTGCAGATCAAGCACGATTGGGGTGTAACAAGAGATGCTTTGTCTACCTACATATTTTGAAGTTGTCTTTTGATTCCAGGAAAGCTTTAAAGGACCTGAGACCCTAAAGAATCTAGTCTTTCAATTTCTGCTTCAGTAAGTACCCCTGGGATCATGCAGCAAAGGAGAACTAGGACAGGAAAGGCTACATAACACAGGTCTGCTCATGGGTTAAGAGGAGCTTTCAAGGCCCCTTGGTGGGCCCAAATCTGAGAGAGAGCCTGTCCCCCTTCCCCTCCCCCACAGATATTACTTGATTTATGATTCTGAAGACCGAGAACGTCTCCTCAGCGCTTACCACGAGGAGGCCTGCTTCTCCCTAACCGTTGCCTTCAACTCCGAAGACCCAGCCCTGTGAGTATCACAGCTCAGACTCTGATCCTGGGCCATGTTGCTCCCCAGCAGACATAGATCAGCTCTTGGAAACACCTACCCTGTCTGACCACCACCTCCTGTTTCTCTTTTTCCCCTAGAAGCAGCTGGTGCGAGTACTTAAAGGATAACAGGAATATGAAGAAAGTCAAGGATTCTGGTAATTGCCTGATATGAACTCAGTATGGGAAAGGGGTGTAAAGGGGCAATCATTGTAGCCAATGGCCCAACCCTCCCTTCTCATTCCCCCACAGACCTGCGGGTTCAGCTACTGAAGCATACAAAGTGTGAGATTGTGAACTTCCTCTGCGTGTTCCCCAAAACTCAGCATGACCTTAACTCCTATGTGGTAGACCTGTGGGCCCACACAGTGAGCACCCGTTTTCTCTCTTGCAGACCAAGAAAGTCAGAGGTGGGTATGAGGTTTAGAAGGATACTGAGAGCCCTAATAACTATTCTCTCCTTTCAGGAAACTATGCTCTGTTTTTCTGTCAATGGCGTTTTTAAGGAAGGTGAGTGTATGTAGAGTTCACTCCCCAGATCCCCCACTACTCCCTTTCCCTAACTGGACTTACTCCCAAACTTTCCCCCACTTCCCAGGTTGCTCCATTCCCCTTCCCTCCCCTTCTCTTTCTCCCATACCTACCTTTCCCCTAACTTACTGTGTTCTGACATGCATCCATGCCTTTTTATTATTTATTTATTTATTTTTATATTTTTATTGATATTTCACAGAGAGTAAGGGAGAGAGATAGAGAACTAGAAACGTCGATGAGAAAGAAACATCGACCAGCTGCCTCTTGCACACCCCCTACCGGCAACCCAGGTACATGCCCTTGACCGGAATCAAACCTGGGACCTTTCAGTCCGCAGGCCGACGCTCTATCCACTGAGTCAAACCGGTTTCGGCCATGCCTTTTTTATCTTAACAGAGCTCAGATATTAGACACTCAACCTGTAGAGTTTTATAGCTTTCATCTCAGTTTTTTTAAAAATATATATTTTATTGATTTTACACAGAAAGGAATTGAGAGGGACAGAGAGTTAGAAACGTCGATGAGAGAGAAACACCAACCAGCTGCCTCTTGCACACCCCCAACTGGGGATGTGCCCGCAACCAAGGTACATGCCCTTGACCGGAATCAAACCCAAGACCTTTCAGTCCGTAGGCCGACGCTCTATCCACTGAGCCAGACCGGTCCCGGCTCATCTCAGTTCTTTACTCGGTGACATAGAACCCAATATCAAACCACTGCATTTTCTCACTTGCAAAATGGGCTGGTAATATCCTTTTCTAGGAATGCTTTAAAAAGTGAATCAAGTGAACATGTGTTTTTCAGATGATGTGACACATGTTAGGGGGTTCTATTACTGGGAGTCGATTATCTCCATTTTCTCTTCTCAGTCCTTGCAACTCCCTCCTGAGCCACAGTGAAATACTGTCCTGATCTGGTTTCCATCAGGGTGCTGCAAGAGTATCAGATTAAGTCTATGATTGGGGAATGCTGCTTGTGTGAAAAGTATATACAATTGTTAGAGGGGTTTCTTTTTTGTTGTTATTGAAGTGGAAGGAAAGTCTCAAGGGTCTGTCCATGCCTTCACCCGGACCTTCATCTTATCTTCTGGCAGCAATTCCAGGTAAGTGTTGTGTTGTGGGTACAACATGGGAATGAACACCCATCCCAGCCTGATTCCAGCGGTGTAGGAAAATGGTGGTGTAGCCTAGAGCTTTTCTTAGTATTATGGAAAGCCAACAGGTAGGTCCAAAGAGATGTATAGGTTAGTAGTTAAGACTGTGAGCTCTGAAGTCAGAATACCATAGTCTTTTCCTGACCTCAATACTCAATAGCTAGCTAGAGTGACTTTGGTGAAGATATAAGACCTTAGTGACTCATTGTCCCCTTCTGAAAATGGGAATTGGAGCATCCATTCCTTGGGCTGCTGTAAAGGGTAAATGCATTAGTACTAAATCTAAAATTTAAGTGAAACTGGTCCTCAAAATAATAATCTCTTCAAAGGTGAGCTTAGTAGAAGAGGCAGAGGTACCAGGCAAGGAATCTGGGGGCAGGCACACTTGGGGTATGGAAGGAAACTGGTTTCTGAGTGGCAGTGGGGGCAGGATCGTTTTTGGGAGTCTGAGGGCCCATATTTCTTCCAGTATGTGCATCGTGAACGATATAATGACTGTGGGGGACACCAGGATAGAAGAAACCCAAAGTGCATTCTCCATTCCAGTGCCTACACCCACCTTTAGCTCCCTGTCTACCCTCTCCCAGGAACAGCAAGAAATGGTGCAGGTTTTCTCCACCCATTCTGGGATAAGCCTCGAGTGGTCTCAAAAGTGAGTGCTGGGAATCTGTGGGAAAAAGAGAGAGCTGGGAGGGCAAAAGAATGAATAATGATAACTTGTAGTTAACTTGTAAAAATAATTATATGGATATTGTGCTTTCAAAAAGAGCTCATAAAATATGTATATTAATGTTATTCTGATATCCTATATAATAAAAGCCTAATATGCTAAGTGTCCAGTTGACCAGCCAGCAGTTGAACCAATCAAAGTGTAATATGCTAATGATACACTAAGGCCGCTCAACCACTCGCTATGATGTGCACTGACCACCAGGGGCAGATGCTCTGATTTGTAGGTTAGCTTGCTGTTGGGGTCCAGCCCAATGAGCCAGATGGGCCGGCTGAGTGAGAGGGGCCAGCGGAGCAAAAGGGGCCAGATATGCCCTGGAGCCCTCCTGCAGTCCCTCCCCAGCTGGCCAACCTCGCGTGTCTCTTCCTGGCCCCGATCTTGCACTGCTGTGTCCCTCAGCCTGGCCTGTGCCCTCTCACAATCCAGGACACCTCTGGGGATGTAGGAGAGCCAGTTTCAGCCGGATCCCACAAGGGGAACATCACTCAGCCAGAAGCCAGGCTCATGACTGGCGAGTGCAACAGTGGTGGCGGAGCCTCTCCCCCCTCTGAGGCAGTGCTAAGGCCGTCTGACTGCCACCTTAAGCCCGCTTCCCCCAGGGACATCCCCCAAGGGCTCCTGGACTGTGAGAGGGTGTAGACTAGGCTAAGGGACCCCCCCCCCGGGTTTCGTGCACTGGGCCTCTAGTATGTAAATAATTTTAAAAAATATATTCAGATGACATGAACTTGTATATACAGTATATAATCCCAAGGAAACCATTAAAATTTTATAATTAATAAACAAGTTCAGCATGATTTCAGGATAGAAGATCAATACATAAAAATCAGTTATATTTCTATACACCAGTAATGAACAATCCAATAAGGGGTTAATCTCCAAAATATATAGAGTACTCATACAGCTTAACCAAAAGAAAACAATCCTATTTAAAAATGGGCAAAGGACCTAAAGATATACTTCTCTAAATTGAACAGAGAGAAGGCCAAGAGACATATAAAAAAATATTCTAAGTCACTAATCACAGATGCAAATGCAAATGACAATGTGCTATCACCTCACACCAGTCAGAATGGTTATCATCAACAAACAACAAGTGTTGGCAAGTGAAGAGAATGCAGGCTGATGCAGGCACTGTGGGAAACAGTATGGACTTGCCTCGAAAAATTTAAAATGGAACTGCCATTTGGCCCAGTGATCCACTTCTAGGAATATATCCTCAGAAATCAGAAACACCAATCAGAATATATGCATGCTATGTTCATACCAGCACAATTTACAATAGGTAAGATTTGAAAACAGCCCAAATGCCCATTAGCAAATGAGTGGATAAAAAATTTGTGGTTCATTTTCACAATGGAATACTAGGCTTCTGTAGAAAAGAAAGAATCCTTACCATTTGCAACAGCATGGATGGATCAGGAATGTTATGCTAAGCAAAATAATCCAGTTAGAGAAAGATAAGTATCATATGATCTCACTTATATGTGGAATCTAGTGAAAAAAATAAACTGAAGAACAAAATAGATCTAGAGACTGAGAAGCATGAAACAGACTATCAAACGCCAGAGGGAGGCAGGGGAGGGTGGGTAGGTAGGAAGAGATCAACCAAAGAATTTATATACATATATGCATTACCCATGGATACAGACAATAGGGTGATGAAGACCTGGGGTGGGCTAGAGGTGGTCAATGGGAGGAAAAAGGAGACATTATGTAATATAATAACAGAGTAAAAAAAGGAAAACATTTCCATTTATAATAACATAAAAATAACATACTAAAGAACAAATTTAACAAAAAATGTATCCTACAAAATTTGCAAAATATTGAAATAAATTTTAAAAGACCTAAATAAGTAGAAAGATATCCCATGTTTCTGGATCAGAAGAATTAATATTCAGAGAGCAATACTCCCCAAATTTATATACACATTCAATGCAATTATTTCAAAATCCCAGCTGGTTTCTTGGCACAACTGATAAGTTAAATTTAAAATTCATAGGAAAATGCAGTAGACCCAGAATAAACACAATAATCTTCAAAGAGAATAAAGATGACTCATAACTTCCCTATTTCAAAATAGTACAAAGCTACAGTAATCAATATCATGTGGTACTTACTGGCTAAGGATAGATATATAGACCAATGGATTAGAATTAGAATCTGCACATACACACACACACACACACACACACACACACACCTCACCATTATGGATAATTGATTTTCAACCAGAGTGGCAAAAATATTCAATGAATAATGAATAGTCTTTTTAGCAACTGATTCAGGGATAACTGGATACACACTCACAAAAGGATTAATTTGTACCTATATCTCACACCATATACAAATACAAATCAAAAGTTATAGCTAACACTATTAAAATCTTAGAAGAAAATATTGGGTTAAGTTCTTTTTTTATTTTGAATTAAGCAACATATTCTGACATGTGATGCTAAAAGCACAAACAAAAATTTAAATTAAATCAATTGTACTTCATCAAAACTTAAATTTTTTGCATCAAAGGACACTACTAACAAAATGAAAAGACAACACACAGAATCAGAGATATTTTCAAATCATATACCTGATAAGGGGTGTGTATCCAGAATATAAATAAAAAAGCCTCTTAGAATCCAAAAGTGAAAAGGCAAATAACTCAATTAAAATGAACAAAGATCTCAATAGACATTTATCCAAACACGGTGACCAAAAGGCAAATGAAAAGGTACTTAAATCATTAGTCATTTGCAAAATGCAAAACAAAAATATAATGCGGTACTATCCTATCTAATAAAGAGGGAATATGCTAATTGGCCCTCATGCCATCACAAAGATGGCGGTTCCCACAGACAATAAGGAGGGAATATACTAATTGACTGCCCTGCCCTTAAAGATGGCGCTGCTCACAGCCAATAAGGAGGGAATATGCTAATTGACTGCCTCACCCTCAAATATGGTGGCACCCAAAGGCAATAAGGAGGGAATATACTAATTGACTGCCACACTTCAAAGATGGCTGTGCGCAGAACCACAAGATGATGGCACCCAGTCCCCTCAGCCCCACCAGGGCAGCAGGCCTGGCCACTCTGTGCACCTGCCTCCTGAGTCCCCCAGTCCCCTCAAAACCCCCAGCTTCCTAGGGCTGGACCAAGGTGCAGGCAAGCCTCAGATGGCGGCTGCCCAGCCATCTAGGGCTTCCTGAGGCTCAGGTAACCAGGACTGGCCAAGGCTTGCACACAGCAGTGGCAGCAAACGAAGTATGATGGGGTGTCGTCTTCCCCTGATTGCCAGGTCGCCTCCCGCTTCTGTTCTGAGGGCTCCTAGACTGTGAGAGGATGCAGGCCAGGCTGAGGAACCCCCTTGCCCAAAGTGCATGAATTTTCATCCACTGGGCCTCTAGTTAACACATACTAGGATGGCTATAAATGTTGGCAAAAATGTGGAAAAACTGGAACCCTCATACTTTGTTGGTGGGAATGGAAAATGTAGCCACTAAGGAAAATGGTTTGGAAAGTTCCTCAAAATGTTAAACATGGCCCTAACCAGTTTGGCTCAGTGGATATAGCATTGACCTTCAGACTGAAGGGACCCCAGTTCGATTCCAGTTAAGGGCATGTACCTTGGTTCTGGGCACATCCCCAGTTGGGGGTGTGCAGGAGGTAGCTGATCGATGTTTCTCTCCCATCGATGTTTCTAACTCTCTATCCTTCTCCCTTCCTCTCTACAAAATAAAAATAAAAATAAAAATAAATCAATAAAATATATATTTTTAAAATATTAAACATGCATTTACCCTATGACTCAGCAATTCCACTCATCAATCCTATATAATAAAGAGACAATATGCAAATTGACTATCATGCCTTCCCACAAGATGGCAATCCCCATGTGGTCACAAGATGGTCACCACAATATAACCGGTAGGAGAGGGCAGTTGTGGGCGATCAGGCCATCAGGGGAGGGCAGTTGGGGGCAACCAGGCCTGCAGGGGAGGGCAGTTGGGGGTGACCAGGCCTGCAGGAGAGAGAAGTTGGGGGGGGGGAGGACCAGGCCATTAGGGGAGGGCAGTTGGGGGCAACTGGACCTGCCGGGGAGGGAAGTTGGGGGCAATCAGGCTGGCAGGGGAGTGGTTAAGGGGTGATCAGGATGGCAGGCAGAAGCAGTTAGAGGCAATCAGGCAAGCAGATAAGCATTTGGGAGCCAGCAGTCCCAGATTATGAGAGGGATGTCCCAGATTAGAGAGGGTGTAGGCTGAGCTGAGGGACACCCACCCCAGTGCACAATTTCATGCACCAGGCCTCTAGTATACAGTATATATAAAAGTCTAATATGCAAATTGTTCCCACTATAGTTCAAGTTGCTATGATGGGCACTGACCACCAGGGGGCGGTGCGGAATGAAGGAAGGCCCCAGCAGGCATCTGGCAGCTGGGGAAGGGAGGCCCTGGCCAGCAACTGAAAGGCTCTGATTGGCCCTGGCCCTGATCCCTGGCCAGGCCTATGGACCCTACCTCTGCATGAATTTCATGCACTGGGCCTCTAATGAATATATATAATGATAATTTAAAGCATATGTTCACACAAAAATTGTATGCAAATATTCACAGCAGCATTCTTCTTTTATATATATATATATTTTTTAATTTATTTCAGAGAGGATGGGAGAGGGAGAGAGAGACAGAAGCATCAATGATGAGAGAGAATCGTGGATTGGCTGCCTCCTGCATGCCCCACACCACGTATAGAGCCCACAACCCAGGCACATACCCTGATCGGGAATCCAACTGTGACCTGGTTCAGAAGTCAATACTCAACCACTAAGCTAGGCTCACAGCAACATTATTCTTTACAGCCAAAATGTGGAAACCACCTAAATGTCCATCAATTTAGTAAAGGATAAATAAAATGTGATATAACTATACAATGGAATATTATTCAATAAAAATAGAATGAAGTTCTGATACCTGTCATAAAATGGATGAACCTTGATACTATTATGTTAAGTGAAAGAGGCAGACACAAAAGACCATGTATTATATACGGTAAGTCCATTTACATGAAATACCCAAATAAGAAAATTCATATAGTCAGGTAGCAGATTAATGGTTACTAGGGTCTGGGGTAATGGGGGACTAGAGAGTGACTCCTAATGGGTAAGGAGCTTTATTTACGACGATAAAAATGCCTTGGTGTTAGATTCGGAGTTCTGATGATTGCAAAATCTTATGAATATACTAAAAATTACTAAATTGTGTATGTTTCACCTTAAAATGATGAACATTACAGTATGTACATTATAAACCAATTTAAAATGATTGGAAATTTATATTTTAAAATTTATAGCTGTTATTTTCCTGAACATCTTATCAATATTCTATATATTAAGCTCCCTTGATCTTTTGAACATCTCTGTTTTTAATTCTAGTGGGAATGAATGCTAGTGACACGTTTGGTTTTCATTAGGTCTTTCTTCCTCATTACACATAGTGCTCATTCTGGTACATGTATCCCAGCACAGATTTAGTGGCATAGGCTTAGTGGTGGCACTGCATGGTCAGCGTGTCTGTACTGTGGTACTGATGGAGATCACTCGGTCTTCTCCCACTCCAGGTGCCTTCAGGACAATGAGTGGAACTACATTAAAGCTGCTCAGGTCTTCGCTACGCTCAAGGTGAGGTCTGGGTATCAAGTGGGTTAAAGACAGATGTTTCTGGGCCTTGGGGGAGGCCAAGAAGATGGAAGCTGGTGCCCTGGACTAAAACTCAAGGAGCTGGCTCTTCTGACACCCTGACTTCTCCTCTCCAGACCCAGGGCAAGATCCCAGAGGAGGCCTTCGAACAAATCCCTTAAAAAGAGCTCTTGGTGTCATCTTTGTCTTCATCCACATTATTCCTCTTTTCTATTGTGTAAGGCTGCACCCAGGACTGGGGCTGGAGGCCTGGCTGACCAAGAAGCCAAAGTTACCCAACCACCTGAACTGCCATTTGTTCTGTTTATTCTCCCCATTCATGATCGCTGTGGTTGTGTTTTTTCTTTTTCTTTTTCATAATAAAGAGTGATGTTACACATTGTATGTCATGTGACTTGGATCTCTCTTCCTGTGCCAACCATGAGCAATGAGTTCAGGACTGAAAGGCCCTTTCCTATCCATCCCCAGCTCCCCATTCACCCTGGCAGTCTCTAGCAGACACATCAGGCTTGACTACAAAGGCAGTTTGTCAATAGATTCTAATGAGAATGGACACATAATGCTTCCAGAAGTTGGCCTTTGGAGATAGTGTGACTTAGTCATATGCTTTACTTAGTGGCCCACAGAAGCAGGCATGGGACCTGCCACAAAGGGATTTTGCAAGGAATTCCTAATATAACATGTATGAACCTTTACGCTAAGTGAAAGTTACAAAGGACTATATAATGTATTATTTCACTTATATAAAACATTAGTGGATGTTTCAAAGTATGAAAATCCATAGATATAAGGTAGATTAGTGTGTGCCAGACTCAGGAGCCAAAGGGAAATGGAATATGACATCTTAATTCACATAGGATCTCCTTTTAGAGTGATGAAAATGTTCTGGAATTATATCGTGATGAGGGTTCTACAGAATTTGTACTAAATGCCACTGAATTGTTCACTTTAAATGGTTAAAAATGTAAGTTTATGTTGTATAATTTTTTCCACAATTAAAAAAACATACACTAAAATGTGCATGAACCCTGAAAATACTTTGCTAAGTGCAAAAAGCCATTTATATGAAATATCTAGAGTAGATAAACCACAGCGACAGAAAGCAGACATGTGGATGCCAGGGCCTGGGTGGAGGGAGAATGAGCGTAAGTGCTTAATAATATGGGGTTTGTAAATAATTTGTGTAACTAGATAATGATGATTATACAACATTGTGAACATAAGTAATGCTACTGCATTGTATACTTTAAAATGATTAAAGAGGTAAATTTTATGTTGTCTATATTTTGTCATAATCTTTAAAAATCTACAGTGGAGTTCTTTTAAAAATGGTACTGAATTTTTAATGAATATACTTACTATATTAAAATGTCGATAATACAGAAGACTATACAAACCAAAGGGGGGAAAACCATCACAATCCAAATCATGAGCACAGTCTTCACTGCTGATTTTTGCTTTTCTTTATACATACTCTATACCTATATAACATCATCTAGATAAAACTGTTTTACAAAATAATTTTTTCACTTGGCATCATTTCTTTGGAATTTTCCCTATATTACTAAAATCTTCTAAAACATTTTTAAAGCAATTTGAAAAATACTACAAATAAACAGAAAAACAGTTGACCTCCATGGCAGGTCCCTCCCACTGTCTTCCCCTCAGTGGCCTCCTGAACAGTGAAAGAACTTGGGAAGGCCACCCCAGAACCTCCAGAGTCTGGCCTTAAACTGCCTTTCCTCTCTCAGCCTGCTTTCCTGACACGTCCTCTACCCACCTGACTTTTTGTGCAGGAGCTCTGGTGGGTCAGGCCTAGAAGGGGCGCACAATGGGATGATGGGGTAGTTTAGCATTTAATCCGCTCTCACTTCAGTAGCAGTTTACCTCAGTTCTACTTCATCCTCCATTGTAGGTGACAAGCAAACTATGAGATTGGGAGGGAAGGGTTATGGGCACAAAGATATTTGAGTATTAATCCTCTTCCATGAGTACCGAATTATTTTCCCTCATGCCCACGCTCAAGCTCCCACATATTTAGGTGTGAAAAAATATCACCATTGGCATCAAGAGCGGAGGCAGAACATAAGAATGGGACATGTACACACAAGGGTAGTTTGATATTCACATGCTTCTCTCTTCCATTTGTTTTCCCTTTATCCTTATCCCACCTTTACCTCGACTATTTCCCTGTAGGAAATTTGGTAAGCAACAAGGGCGAGAGATTTAGGTGAGAAACAAGACTACGGAGTTTGATATTGACCAACCAATCAGACCAGAGCAGCTTTCCAGACGCCCCGCCTCATTTGTGTGGAAGGGTTTCTCTCAAAAAGGGGACAGTTTTGAAATCGATTACAATTTATCTGATCTCTCAGTCTCGAGCCTCTCTCCCAACCAGATCATCTCAACCTGCGCATTTCAGTGGACTGGGGACTTGGTGATGTGACCTGTAAATACGGAGCTTTGGTATCCATCCGCCTAGTCAGGCTGGAGCGGGTTCCCTGACGTCACCGCCGGAAACCCGCGAACATTACAGGGCGGGGGAATGCAGGCTTTCTGGCGGGGAGCTCCTAAAAGAGGGCTTCTCTCCGTCCAGCGCTGCTTTCTCTACAGCCAGATTCCCGCGGCTGCACATCCAATACCGGAAACAGCCGCGGGAGCGGGCGGAAGTCGGTGACTGAGAAGTGCGCTGCACAGCGCGGTATCCATCCGCTCCCGTTGGCCGGGGCTCCTTAGCTCCGCTCGCTGCGCTCGCAGTCGGTTTTGGTGTTGGCGACGGAAACACGGCGGAGCCTGCGGAGGGAAAGGTAGTTGTTGATTTTGTCTCAAGGAGCGGGTCTCTGAGGAGCCCTGGGGATGAGAAAGAAAGGGAAATGCCCCAAAGTGACCGTCGTTTGGCAATTACGGCCGTTAACCTGATAAAGCAGGCCTCTCGTCCTAGGCGCGCGGGCAATCCTCAAACACAGTCGCCGCCATTGTCCTGGTGTCCATTTGACTGTCTTTCCCTCTTTCTGTAGGGCATGGCATCCCCTGAGGCAAGGACATGAGAAAACTGCCCCTGATCCAAGCAGAGCAGGTCAGTGAGAAGGCGGGTACGGTTTGGGAACGTGGATGTGGGTATCAGATGAATGGTGACCTGGTCTGAGGCGTGGGCGGTGAGAGTGATGGAGGGACGGAAGTAATTTGAGCGCCACGCCACGCAGCGATAAAGTTAAAATGATATGTCTCTTGTTAGTTTGACTTTTCAGACCCTCACCCCACCTCCGACCGTGATTGGGAAGGGAGAGGAGTATAATAACAGCTTCTAGTGGAGAAGTGGCGTATTATAAAATAGAAGGAAGGGCTGCAGCTATTGGTTAAGAAAAGTTGCCTGGAGAGCCCAGGAAGGGAGAGAGGGTAGATGCAGGTTGTAAGTGTTTGATAATCAAGGCCCTGAATTAGAAAAGGGTCTCATGTCCTGGTTACTAGTCTGACCATATGAATTTTATATGTGTATGTCTGTTTCTAAGTTTGCGGTACTCCATGCTTTTGTAATCTGTAAGGGGCAGAGGACCTCGAAGGGACGGGATAAGAAAAAAGAAAATTAGCCTGATTTTTGTGGAAATAGGCAGTGCTTTGAAGGTGGTAGATAGCTAAGACTAGAGCAGGTAGGGGTCTAGGGGAAACCCAGATCTCCAACTTTCCGAACGGTCTTTAATACATCTCATTGTGCTGAAGCAACTGATAGGTTTTGGGGAAAGTATGAAAACATGAGAACTTAGATAAAATTTGAAAATAATACTTTTCATTGATTTCCCAGCGAACTTCCATGGCTGAGCATTCCATCCCTATTGACACCACCGCTATAATGCAGGGATGTTTGAATTGTCAGATTTGGGGAATGAAACAGAGAAGATTGGAGATTTGGGAGAAGGGGAGGTAGAAAATTTTGGCGAAAAAGTATCTGTATCAAGAAGGCATTGGTGTCCTAGATGCTGCTCTCTACCAAGAACTCAGTCTCCATTGTGTCCTGTGTCTCCATTTGTTTATCTCTGCATTTGTAAATCTCCGTGTTCTCTAAGTCTGTAGAACTCTCAGTTGTGAAGGTTTATAAATGGTAACCCAACTTGAAGCTAGGAAATGATGAAAAGTGCCCTGTGTCTGTTAAGATTGGCATGATGGTAGAGGGACTAGAGAATTATATCTCTTCTGTTTTGCCAGTTTACTAACCCCTGTTGATCTGCTGCTGATTTAGTTGGGAGCCTTCATAAGCATTGGGGTTACAGAAGGGTAACATCTGCTTTTCTAACTTCCCATCTGATTTTCCTATCCATATGCTTCACCCTAGCCCAATTCTAAACAAGGAAAATGTTAGGGCAGTCACTGAAGAGGAAAATGGTTGGCAGCAGGAAGGAGAGGAGTAGTCCAAAAGCAGGACAATGGGGAGAAGGGACCAGAAGGAGGGGAACACTGGAAAAAGTACAAATATAGGGAAAGTACAAGGTCTTTTTACCAAGAGATCGGTTTCCATAACCTCCTGTTTGATTATCTGTTCGTAGATCTTTTGTAGGGCTTATCATCATTGGCAGCAAGGAAAGGAGAAGAAATTACTCCAAATCAGTGCAGATTGGTATGGATGTGATGGAGACATCCTCAGTAGTCATGTAGTATGAGGTAGTGGAGATCTGCTTGGGTCCAGCATGGGTAAAGAGCCAATCTAGGGATTTCTCTGTCTCTCTCCCATCCAGCTTTCCCACTCTCCATACTTCTGTTTTGTGTATGGAAAGATTAGTAGCACCTGCAGTTGAAGAGTGTGAATTTAAGGAGATTGCTAATTATCTACCTCTCCCATTTAACACTGAGTTTCCGTACTCTCCGGTCAAAATGAGCAAAACATTGGAAGATACTCAAAGCCCCATTTCCTTCCTCCACTCCTAGGTTCAACTTCAGTGGCAGATCTGGTGGCCTTCGAGGGGCTGAAGACCACCATCCTCCACAGGGTTGCGCTCAGGCACACAGCTATTCTTCTGAGTGAGCTTTCTCTGCACATTGCTTATATCACTGGCAGAGCCTGTAGTTGAAAAGGGGGCTGAGTGACTGCTGGACTTTGTATGAAAACACCAATCTGGGATGGACCTTTGGTTAAGGCTGTGACGGGTGGGGGTATATAAATTGTCCTTAACTTTAATTTTGATCTTGACTGGCTCTGAGGCCAAGGCAAGGACAGAGGAGAGGCCTGGGCTGGCCTGAAAACTATAATCAGTGGCCCTGTAACCCAGGACCAGTAACCCAGGCCAAGGCCGGGGATGGAGCAGTGGCCAGGACACAGAAATTGACCTGTGGCCATGGCTACGGCAAAGGAAGTGAGCAAGATGGAAGCAAAGAGTAAGACTAGAGGCATGGCTGAAACTAAGGCAAAACCCCTGGCAGAACCTGGTGTAGTGCCCCAAAACAATTCAAAAGCCATGCCTACATCCAGGTTCAGTGCTGTGCACAAGTATGAAGTCAAGGCTGATGCTGGAAGTGAAACCAATATCAGGTCCTTTTCCAAGGCTGATAATAAGGCCGATATTGGATCCAGACCCCTGAGAAGGAAAGAGGCCAGCACCAAGGTCAGGGATGAGGACAGAGCTGGTATAATCGAGTCCAATGATGAGAATGAAGAAAATGTCTGCTCCTGGTTCTGGACTGGAGAAGAGCCTAGTTTAGGATCCTGGTTCTGGCCTGAAGAAAAGAACCCATTTCAAGCTTATAAACCTCCACCACCTAAGACTGAGGAAGAGCCCCATCCCACACCCTGTTGTGATCTTCCTATAAAGCGAAGAGCAGCAGCATGGTCAAGGGCTAGGTATAGTGTCCTAGTCCCAATAGATGGAGGGAAACCATCCTTGCCTCCAGATGGGAATTGGACTCTGGTTTCGACCTTGATTGAAACTCCCCTGGGTATTCGGCCTCTGACCAAAATCCCACCCTTTGATGATGGGCCTTACTTCCAGACCTTAGCTGATCTCAAAGAGCAGATTAAGTATAAGGAAAAGTATGGGCCCAATCCAAAAAACTGCCGCTGCAAATCACGTGTCTTCAGTTTAGAGCCTAAAGAGTTTGATAAACTTGTTGCCCTACTTACGTTAACTAGAGATCCATTCATTCATGGAATAGCAAAGATGATAATGGGCATCAGTCCTGCTTATCCATTTACCCAAGATATAGTTCATGATGTAGGTATTACTGTTATGATTGAAAACCTGGTCAATAATCCCAATGTTAAAGAACACCCCAGAGCTTTAAATAAAGCGGATGACAGCTCTGAATCTTCTGAAGAAGCAAAAACAGAAGAGTTGTATGTAAATGAAGTCTGTAAGGACATAATCTCTTATCCTTTGAACTCCCCTGTGCAACTTGCTGAATTAAAATTATTGGAGCACTTGAGTATGAAATTTGAGAATCACCATATGATTGCCCATTATATTCCAGATCTCCTCATCTTGTTAAACAACGGAAATGTCAAAACCAAGTATTATGTTTTAAAAGTGTTCTCGCGCTTAGCTAAAAATCAAGCTAATACAAGAGAACTGATCAGTGCCAAAGTACTGTCATCATTGGTTGCACCCTTTAACAAGAATGAGTCAAAGGCCAATATTCTTAATATTATTGAAATTTTTGAGAATATAAATTTCCAATTCAAAAAGAAGGTGAAGTTATTTACCAAGGAAGAGTTCACTAAATTTGAACTTATTTCCATATTCCAGGAAGCAAAACAGTTTAGTGAGAAACTCCAAGACTTAGCAGAGCACAGTGATCCTGAGGTGAGAGATAAAGTTATACGATTAATACTCAAACTCTGAATAGCTGAATGTTCTCACAAAGCCTTGAATAATTTATGGTGTAATATGAAACCAATGCATATTATAAGTTTAGTATTTATGTTATCTGTGTTGTTCGAAGGACAGTTTTGTGGATACCAAATGATGATGTTCATTTTTATTGTGCTATATAAATTGAGATATTTTCATTATTTGTGTAACAAGACCTAATAATGAAACTGTTCATCCTGAGTAAGTTATACTTCTGTGCTTTATATAGACATAAGTGTATTCATTTGAGACTTCATTTACATAATAAAGTTGCATGCTAAAACTGGTAAAAAATTGTCCTAGTTCTTCAGTTGAAGTATAGTATAAAGCACAACCAGTACAACGATATTAAAAAGCACTGTTTGTGTGTGTAGAGGGATACCAACCAAACAAATTCACATTGACAGATCCTTTAGTTGCATGTTCAAAGAGTAGAATTACTCTGTACACAAGAAGACATGACTGCTACTGGCAGACATATGGACAAATCTGGGAAAGGGGTGAAGACACAGACTTAGGAGAAAGGGAACACAGATGGTTTCATCCCAGTCTGAGCCCCAGAACTTTTCTTCAGCCTTTCGCATAGTATACCTTTAACTTTTTAACCCCCAAAATGATTCCCAGTTCTCACACTCATTCAGCAAAACCATGGAAGTGTAGTTGTGATACAACTCCACCATGCCCTCAACATCCAGGTAACACACTAGAGGTACCAGATTTACTGCTTCATCTGAGATCCCTCCCGCTGTAGTCCTGAGCCTCAGAGGAAGATCTTTCTGAGTACCTAAACAGCTTCATGGATAGTTTCATTTATCCTACCTTGGTGACTATTTAGTCTCATCCTTTTTTTGTTTTGTTTTGTTTTTGCTGGCCAATCCTTCGGACTTATTTGTGCCTATCCTTGATGGCAGCTCTGTCTTTTTGTTTTGTTTTTTGGTTAATCCTTACCCCAGGATATTTTTCCCATTGATTTTTAGAGAGAGTGGGAGAGACAGAGAGAAACATCTATGTGAGAGAGACATCAATTGGACCGAGACCGGGGATCAAGCCTGCAACTGAGGTATATGCCCTTGACCGGAATTGAACCCAAGACCCTTCAGTCCACAGGCTGACAATTTAACCACTGACCAAACCAGTCAGGACACAGTTGATTTTCACTGATCCCTTTTGGTCAGAGCTCAACTCTAAGAGACAGACATAGGATACCGAAGTCTTTTGGGCATATGTTGCTAGACAGAAATTAATTCCCCTATCCCACTAGCCTATTTGTTCAGGTGTACAATTTAGTATAGCCATGTTGTCTATACTATCTCAGCTTCTTCTATTTAAACTTAACTAAAGTTAGATTCTGGCTTGGGGGTTGTGGCTTAGAATGCCAGAGTATAGATTGGGATGTGGGCCACCTCTGTCTATTCTAACTTCTGCTTCCTTTGCTGTTATTATCCTCTTTACTGCCCAGAATTGGGAGATAGAGATATTAGGATCAGTGTACAAATATTAATCTTTCTATTGAACTTCCTCTCTTAACATTTTATGTATTGGGCAGAAGCCCTAAACTGAAAAATCTTAACAAGGAATCATGTATCCCTAGTTTTAGCAGCTATCCCTGGTTTAAGTTCTATTAAGATAAAGTCTGAACTTCTATTTCATACATCTAGGAGTTAAAATGAAGGATAACTGGTCACACTTGGACATTAAGCTTACCTGAAAAAAAAGCAGGTAAGCTTTTTAGAATGTGCAATCGTAACATATGATTTTTTAAGTTATTTATAACTTGCTTTTTAATCCACAGAACTCCCATAGCCTGGAATTCCAGCTCTGGGTACTGCTTTCAGAGTTGAGAACCTCCACTATACAACTGGACCAGACCCTTTGGAATATTCTTTGTCTTGAACTCCCTATGGAGCAAACACTTAATCAGTTGATGACTATAGATTTTTCCATCAGCTAAAGAGAAGGGTGAGTGTGGGGTATGTCAGTATTTGTATCAAAGCAAGTAACTGATGGTCTTTTTGGATGGGAATCAGGGGAGATAGAATCATTTGCCAAATTGTTCTTGGGGTGTCCTTGAGATCAAAACTTAATCTCTGTTTCATCTCCTTTCCTGGTAAAATAATTCAGGCGAGCCCATGTAGTATCAGGGCTAACCAAGATGTTAATTATATATAAAGTGTTTCAACCAGGAGTAAAAATTAGTGTGGATTTCTCATCTTGCAAAAGGAACAAAATAGAGGAACAACAACAAAAGCACACCTCTGGAAATGCAGAAGGAGCTATTAATTAAAACATGGGAGAAGGGAAAATAAGGCTGTTCCGAGAAAACTTCAAAAAGGACCTGGACTCTTTGCAAGGAATCTTCCTCCAGCAAAGCTGGAATATTAGCACCCACTGGCCCTCTACTATGTCCTCAATTTTAAAAGAGGAACTTTCAGTGGAAATTTATAAGATACACCAAGTTCCCTAGCAAGGCTTTCAAAACTTTATTCTTAAGCACTTTTCCATTTTGCCCATTATGTCCCACTAATTGACCTATATTCAAGTCACTGGACTATTTGTTGACTATTTCTTGTACTTTTCCTACTTTTGTGCATTTCCTCATACTGTTCACTATGCTGAAATGCCCTTATAACCTTTTTCTGCCTATGGGGAATTCATAATTTAAGCTCAGTTAAAATGCCAGATCTTTTTTGCAGTCTTCTCCAACACACTTATCTTCCCTTTTCCCACGTTGAAATTAATAGTTCCTTCTGCATTTCCAGAGGGGTGTGTTTTTGTTTGTTTGTTTTGTTCTTCTATTTTAGCATCTCTGTCTTTATATCATGTCGTGGGATCTTAATTTTAAGTTTGAACTTGTGTTTAGGGACAGTTAGTATAGAGGGGGAAGCTTAGGTTTGAGAGTGTCTGACTCCAAAGACTGATTTTTTTTATTATGTACAGTAATAATAATTAACATTTATACATTTATTGAAGTGCCTACTATGTACCAGATACTGCTCTACGTGCTTTACTTGTATTAACTCATTTAATTCCTAAAACAGTCCGATGGAGTAGATACTGTTATCCACATTTTACATGTGAGAAAGCTAAGATACTGACTGGTTAAATAACTTGACCAAGCTCATTGAATTTGTTTTTGTTGCTCCTCTATTTTGTTCCTTTTGAGATTCAAACCTTTGCATTCTGAATCTGGAGCTAGCATATGTGACCACTTTTTAACTCTGTACCCCCACATAGCTCCTAGTAAAGTACATTGCCCATTCCAAATTTAATTTGTGTGTTGGTAACACCTGACCCTTATCTTTTTTCTTTGTGTAGACCACTTCTGCCTTACCTTCATTTCCTACCTAAGCATTTGTAGTTTATCACATTCAACTTGTTATTAAATTTGCCTTTTTATTGTGATAACAAAAAATTGGCATGTTATAAAGTACATAACAAGAAAATTGGCATGTTAATGACTTTAATTGACACCATCACTACAATCTATTTCCAAAACATTTCATCACCTGATAAAGAAGCTGCACAACCATTAAGTAACTGGAGGCCTGGTGCATGAAATTCGTACACAGGGTGTGGGGTGTCCCTCAGCCCAGCCTGCACCCTCTCCAATCTGGGACCCGGAATCGGGTCTAAATGGGCAGTTGGACATTCCTCCCACAATCCAGGACTGCTGGCTCCCAACTGTTCACCTGCCTGCCTTCCCGATTGCCTATAACTGTTTCTGCCTGCCAGCCTGACCACCCCCTAACCACTTCAATGCCAGTCTGATTGATGTCTAACTGCTCCCCTACCAACCTGTTTGCCCCCAACTTCCCTCCTCTGCCGGCCTGACCACCCCTAACTGCCCTCCCCTGCAGGGTTGATCGCCTCCAACTGCCCTCCCTTGCAGACCTGGTCCCTCTCAACTGCCCTCCCCTGCTGGCCATCTTGTGTTAGCCATCTTGTGTCCACATGGGGGCAGGATTTTGACCACATGGGGGCAGCCATCTTGTGTGTTGGAATGGTGGTAAATCTGCATATTACTCTTTTATTAGATAGGATAGAGGCCTGGTGCATGGATGGGGACCAGCTGGTTTACCCTGAAGGGTGTCTTGGATCAGGGTGGGGGTTCCCTTGGGGTGTCAGGCGGCCTGGGCGAGGGGCCTGAGGTGGTTAGCCGGCCAGCCACGCCCCCCAGCGACCCAAGAGGAGGCCCTGGTATCTGGAATTTATTTACCTTCTACAATTGAAACCTCGTAGCCTGGAGCAGAGCTAAGGCCCCTGCTCATTCCATGGCTGCCACCATTTCTGTTTGGATTTGTTTATCTTCTATAATTGAAACTTTGTAGCCTTGAGTGAAGACCTAGGCCAGCCAGGACAGGTGGAAACCTTGGCTTCCTCCATTGCCGGAGGCAACCCTAGCCTGTTCTCTCCAGCTCCATGGCTGCCGACATTTTTCTTGGGATTTATCTACTATAATTAAAACTTTGTATCTTGAGTGGAGGCCTAGGCCCGCCTGGGTGTGTGAAAAGCTTGGCTTCCTCTATTGCCAGGGAAACTCAAGCCTCTCAACTGTTCTTTGTGGCTGCAGCCATCTTGGTTGGGGTTAATTTGCATATTTACTCTGATTGGCTGGTGGGCATGGCTTGAGCGGAATGATTGTTAATTTGTATATTACGCTTTTATTATGTAGGATAATTTCTCATTCTCTCCTCCCGCTAGCCCCTGGTAATCACCAGTGTACTTTTAAGTAGAATCATATAGTATTTGTCCTTTTGTGTCTGGCTTATATCACTTAGTATGCCATTTTCAAAGTTTATCCATGTTGTAGCATGTTTAAGAACTTTATTCCTTTTTAAGTTTTTTTTTAATTGTTATTTATTGACTTTAGAGAGACAGGAAGGAGAGAGAGAGAATGAGAGAGAGAGTAATATTCCTATGTGTGTTCACCACATTTTGTTTACCATTCATTTGTTGATGGACACTTAAATTGTTTCCACTTTTATGAATAGCACTGCAATGAGCATTGGTGTACTGTTCGAGTTCCTGTTTTCAATTTTTTGAATATACCTAAAAGTAGAATTGCTGTGCTATATGATAATTCTATGTTTAGCTTTTGGAAGAACTGCCAAACTATTTTTCACAGCAATGGCACCATTTTACATTCCCACTCAAGGGTTTAATAGTTTATTCTTTTCCCATTGAATGGACTTAACACCCTTGTCAAAATCAATTGGTCCTAGACATATTGGTTTATTTCTGGACTCTTAATTCCATTCCATTCATTTCTATGTCTATCTTTATTCCATGGGGGGTTTTGATTACTATAGCTTTGTAGTAACTTTAGAAATCAGGAAGTGTAAGTGCTCCAAAGTTTCTTCTTTTTCATATTGTTTTTGTTTATCTCTTTCCATTCTATCTGATTTTAGGATCAGCTTTTCCATTTATACAAAAAAAGCCATTTGGATTTTGACAGGGATTGCATTCAATCCATAGATTGCTTTGGAGGTATTACCATCTCAATAACATTAAGTCTTCCAATCTATGAATACAGGATTCTTTTCAATTTATATAAATATTTAGTTTATTTTAGCAATATTTTATCTGTCAATGGACATCTTGGTTGTTTCCACCTTTTGGCTATTGTGAATAATTCTGTTAACAACACTGGTTGTATAAATATCTGTTTGAGTCTCTGCTTTTGGTTATTTTGAGTATATAACTAGAGTAGAATTATTAAAAATAGAATTATCATATGTTTAATTTTTTGAGGAATTTTCATACTGTTTTCCAAAGAAGCAGCATTTTACATTTCCACCAGCAGTGCACATGGGTTTCAATCTATCCTCATCCTTGCCAACATTTGTTATTTTCTGTGTTTTGATCAGTTTGAATGTATGTGAAGTGGTATCTTGTGGTTTTGCTTTGTATTTCCCTAATATCTGGTGATGTTGAATATATTTACACTAGAGGCCCGATGCACGACATTCTTGCAAGGGGCTCAGCCCTTGCAGCCCCAGCCTCATCTGGAAGGTTGTCCAGGTGGTCTTTCCACTGTTCAGCCCTTCAGTTGATTTGCATATTATGCTTTTTTTTTATTATAGATTTGCTTATTGGTCATTTGTATGTATTCTTTGAAGAAATGTCTGTTCATGACCTTTGCCCTTAAAATTAAAACTTTAAAAATAGGTTTGTTTGGTCTTTTGTTGTTGAGTTTTAGGAGTTCTTTATGTATTGTTGATATTAACCCCTTATCATATGATTTGCAAGTATTTATTCCCATTCGGTGGAACTGTCTTTTCACTTTCCTGAAATGGTCTTTTGATACACAAAAGTTTTTAATTTTGATGAACTCCAATTTATCTATTGGAACTCCAATATTTTTCCTATGTGTTCGTTTTTTTTCATATCCAATAAATCATTGCTAAACCCAATGCCATGAAGTTCTTCCCTATGTTCTAACAGTCTCAAAGTTTTAGCTCTTAAGTTTGTCTTGGATCCATTTGAGTTAATTTTTGTATATGATGTAAGGAAAAGGTCCAAATTCATTATTTTGCATGTGGTAATTCAGTTTCCCAGTCACATTTTTTGAAAGGAATGTTTATTTCTCATTGAATGGTCTTATTACCCTTGTCAAAAACCATTTGGCCATGTATGCAGGGGGTTATTTCTGGGCTATCTATTCTGTTTCACTGGTTTATTGTCCTAACTTTTTGTCAGTACAGTAAAACCTCGACATAATAGACTAATTCAAGCAAGGGGAGTCCATTAAAGCCAAAAGTCCGTTATGTAATAAAATAGGTTTTCCAAATAGGTATGTTAAAAATGTACAAATTAGTTAGTTGACCTGTTTTTACTTATTTAGACACGTTTCTGTAATGAAAATTAAGTATTAATTTCACAGAAAAGTTTTCTATGTGTATTACTGTAATTTTAAATTTATACTGAAGAAGTCTAGTAAATGTGTACATT